CTTGATGGATAAGGCTATGTGTGTGACGCTGAGTCATGTGTGCAGGTCAAGGTCTCCGACCTTTACGTCCACATGTGCTGCACGTCAAGAAAAGGGAGCCATTCATTCCAGACTGTGAGAATGTTGAGAGGACACTTGAAAACCATCGAGACCTGACACTGCAAATAAATATATAAAATATATTTATATATGTATGTATAAAAACCAATACAAATATATAATATATATACTGTATGTATGCATTCTTTTACTATTTTTTATAACATACACCTATATGTGAATATATATGTACATATACTGTGTTACTTTAGTTTTTGCTGTATATTTATAAAGACAAAGAGTTAACTATACTGTTAAATATACAAATATTTACACATAAAATATCTCTGTACTATATGAATGGTAATTCATATGTATACATACATATATGTATATAAATATGTAAATAGTTTATTTATTTATATTTAGGTTTTACAAATATTTACTACAATATAATCTACATTGACCAACGTTGACATTTTTTTACAAAAACTGTTAAATTAATGCGCAACATTAATTGCACAAGATCAGTTGGATTCAGTTAGGTCGTCCTAATGCCACAGCAAATTGAGTTTCAAGTCAGAAACACATGCGTTTCATTGGTAGAGGGTCACATTTTGTTCATTCATTCCAAGTGAATACACTCTCTATCCTTTCTTTCCTTCCTTCCTTCCTTCCTTCCTTCCTTGCTCTCTCTCTCTCTCTCTCCCTCTCTGTCTCGGACATATTTGTAGCGTGTACAGGCAGAAAGATGGTTGAAAAGTAAAACAGAAAAATACAAAACACTTCCCCCACAGTCTAGACACACTAAATGTGGTCTATTCAATTCAATGCGGTGTTTTTATAAAACAGGGAAAAGCTCATTGGGTTGAGGATGAAAGCAGACTTGCTGTTCAAGGCTCTACATGAATAATGCACAAAGCGTAGAGGACATGCTCCAGTCTGTTTTGATAAAAGCCAAATGATGCGCTTCCTCTCCTCTCTTTTACTTTTGGCGCAGTTCCCAACAGCTCGTCCAAACTCCCCGGCGTCTGGAGGGACGACTAATGAGACCAAATCTGATTACATGTCACCTCCATGTTCCACGGCTTCACATTACATTCAAGAAAGTCTATTTTCACATTTTCACAGTCAGATATTATGGAGAAAACATATTTAGGCAGATTAAAGAGTCAATCCTCCTAAAGTTTATACTCAACCTGTGACAAGATGGCCGCTTTTGGGAAGTGATTTGTTTTTTCAGTGTTTATAAACTGAACAACAAGAAATATGATTTTTTCACAGTGTACTGACACAAAGGAGAGGATATTTGTATTTATATATATATATATAAATAAATAATTTAAAAATACATATATAAGCAAAATGCTTGAAGGTGAATAATTACTGATTTAATTATTTCACGACATGTACAAGGAATTACAACTTAAAATGTCAATGTCAGGCCTAGAAAATAAGAGCACTTATTACAACTTAAAATGTCAATGTCAGGCATAGAAAATAATTTTGGAACGTTTGGCAAGTGTGAAGTCACCGAATCCAAATTTGCAAGGAACCGACTGTATGCACCAAGAGGAGGATTACAGTGATTAAGTCTGGAGATGAGGTTCGACACAGTTCAATGACCTGACTGCTCCCTAACCAGAGTGGCAAGGATTCACTTTGGCACACTTTTCAAAGTAAAAGCTGACAAACTAAAACACATTTGCATTTTGTTCAAAGACTGGGAGTGGTCTGGTTTAGACCCCCAGTCAGACTGAGGTTCACCTCCACAGCAGACCTCCTTTACAGGAGCACATTAACAACCTACTGTTCTCAGGGTATTGTATTATCTGTGCTGCCCAAAGCAGAAGTAATCCTCCGGCCTTCCACAGTTATATTTATGGGAGTTCATTAATGTGGAAGTAGCACTTCCACATTTGACACTGTAAAATTACCCGTGGGCCAAATGGTTCCCCTTTGATACTTAATAGGTTAATTAAAGATGGACTATATGCAAGAATTTCCAATAAAGTCTGAAGAGAATTATTACAACAAAGTCCTGCAGTCGTTGGTTGGAGTCGCAGAGATTATTGTTTAGTGTTTATCTGTTTTTTTCAAAGCTAAAATGCTTTGACTAACAAGGAATGAGTTTCCCGTTCACAAAACACATGAAATAGATCAAGTTACCAATGCATTCATAGCGCCCCCTGCAGCGTAGGGCGAAGTTGTTTTTTTTATGTAAATCTTGAGGCAAATATGTTGCACATTAAAAGTTGTCAATGGCTGTTAAAATCTAAATTAGTGGAGCAACAGGAAAACCATGAGATTTCATTAAATTGTGCTTTAATTTCACAAGACAGGAAATTAAAATAAATTGAACTAAAATGAATTAAAATGAGTCGGACTGGACTGGTTCAGATGCCATCATTTTTACTGCCTCCTGTTCTAACTGTTCCGTGATGCCACTAACCCACCCACCTCACTTATTTCTCACGTGTGAAGATTAAAAAAAGGTGTAAGACTGCCTGATTAGCTCTGTGTTTGCAGCTGCTGGGCTCCTTGGTGGTGACATGGAGCAGCCCTGAGAGAACCAGGGAGCCTCTAGAAGCCCATCCAGGCTGATTTTACTTATTCATCATTGCCCCAGTTTGAGTCGAAGAATCTGTCCTCACTCTGACAGGGGCAGGAAACACTGCTCCATAAAAAGAAAAAAAAAAGAAAATGCTTTTACTACCAAGGGTTCACTGATCCACTACTACTAAGCCATGGCAGTCTTTGCATTAAATATCTAACAGTAGTAGTGACTGATGAATGACAAGAGCTTAGCTTGACATGTTCCCTTGATGTAAAGTCATTACAAAAGACTGGTGGGAAGAAAAAAAAGAAGAGACCCTCACACGTAATTTGAATTCGAAATATTCAAATAAAAAGGAACGTCAGTTAGGGGGAAATACATTTCATTTATCAAAACAAATTGATTAAAAAAACAAACACAACCTACATTCCCTGAAAGATTCTGTGCAGTAATAACTGATCTCCAACAGCCTGAGGATTTCATCACCAGTATAGACATATATTTGTTTGACCTGTATCTACCTGATACAGATGCCATATGTGATAACACAGACAAGACATTTACGAAATAGGTAAAATAAGAAATAAGAGAGGGAGGAAGTTCTCGCTTTCCTCCTCCACTGAAATAAAAATGTGATAAATGCAGGTTCAATGCATACTTTTTTATTCAGGATAAAGCCTGATTTTTGTATTTGTTTTGTTGTTTTTTTTGCTGAATTTAATTGTCTAATCAATGTGGCCATAGAGAGTGGATTCATATTAAAGGTAAAGTATGGGGAAAAAAAAGTCTACTGTTTGTAAACATGGACCACGCATCTATCAGTCTCCTGCCTGCAGGGGGTGTTATTATTCTGTCTGTATATTGATATAATGGAAAAACAATTTTATTTGACTGATCCATTGACTCATCCAAATAATGGAATTACTGTATTAATATGGACAAATATCAAGACAATTATGCAAAAATAAATGCTAAAATTTTAGCTTCTTATGGATTTCTCTGCACATTTTTTATAGGGATTTTGAGAAATGATAAATGGGGTAAAGTATGGGTTATTCCATATGCGGCGCGTGTTGTTCTGCCCTCGTGCTAAAAGATTTATAAACACAGCCCTAATTTCTAGATTATATACATCATCCCATAATCCTCCTCATGTGAACTGACCCCTGACCCTCCTCACACTCTTCACATCTTCTTTGGGCCTTTATGACCTCCTGCATCCTCTGGGATACAATACCGCCACCTATAGGACTAATTTAGTAATATTATCATTGGTTAAAAAAAGTTGAAAAAAATATTGAATTGCAGCCTGCAGTGGTCCAGTATTCTCTTCGTCAGATTGTGACTCATTTGTTGTGTGAACTCATTCACACTACAGCCGCTTGCGCTCTTATTCAACGTTACATCAGCTGGCAGAAGAAAGCGATGCAGTGTCTGTGAAGTACGGTGTGACAACGGTGTCCAGATGCAGAGCCACTGTGTTGCTGCTGCTGCTGCTGTTGTGTTTTTGATCACTCATCCCCTCATAGAGGGAAAAAACACAAGGACATCAACTGAAAACAGGGTGATGCCCTTGACAATGTGTGCCTGCGTTCAATTAACATCACAGGCGTGATATAAATATTCAGACACTGCTCATTGTCCCCCACGTCCTCTCCCCTACCACGAACACAAACAGATGCAATCACCAAACCTGATTTGACTAGAGTCTACCTCCCACAGCCACGCCGCCGCTCCACGCAGTGGCAGCGGCATGTGGACGAGTGTCGACGCAGTGCAACCTTATCACATAATTAACATCTAGGTTGCTGTTGCTGACGGGAGGAATTTTTAACAGACGTGCTCTATTTTACGAGAAGGGACTATTGTGCTTTCTACGCTGACAGGAATCTGAATGACAGATCTACAGTCAGAGAAACGCATCAACTACCAACAGAGTATCCGTGCCGGGGTGGAGAGCAAACGACACAGCAGCGCTTTGTCTGGGTTAACGTCCCACGTAACTCAATAACCTCGTATCTGCAGTAATGAACTTTTAATAAAAACCCCTCTCTGAAAGGGTCACCACTCCTGAAGACAGCTTCACTGTGATACATATGTTGGTGGAACCTCTGTGGCTGCTCCAGACACTGCCTTTTCCCATCATTCCATCACTTATACAGCACTAATTATATTGATGAATGACTCACTCACTCCCTTCTTTACGAGTGGCCTGTGACAGCTGACAGATGTTGTGTCTTATGTTACACTCTCATCTGAAAATGTTTTTTTTAATTGAACTTTTTTTTAAAATTTTCTTTAGATTTTACATCACTTTTGTTCTAAGCCTAAGGGGTTTCAAACATATGGTCCGTAGTCCAAATCCGGCCCGCTAGGGTGTTCAATCAAATAAAAAAATACACAAACATTTCATGTTCAGGATATTTTTAGACTATATGATATATTATGTTATAATGTACTGGTCCGGCCCACTTCACATTTAGTTGTATGCGGCCCGTGAACCAAAATGAGTTTGACACCCCCGTGCTAACCTTTTCTAAAGTTGTGATTCAGGTCCTGGAGGCATTTTCTCAGCTTTCCTACTTTCCAATCAGTTATTTTAATGGAATATATCGGGGAAATTGTTATGCATTTTTATGACTACCAGGTCTACAAAATAAAATAAATGGCTTTAAGGTTTTCTTACATAATTAAATGTGTACCAGCTGAGAACAAATTGGAAACCCTTGTGCTTCACAACGTACTCTCTACATCAAGTTACTAAAAACTAAATTGAATCAATTTTATTTGGTGTCAGCTGAATGAACTGAACAAATTCGGAAAGGATTAATTGCACCATTTATGACCACCTTTTTAAATGAAAAAGGACTTTTTGTTAAAAAAATGTGTTTAATTGACTGTTGCTGCCAGATCTGTGACTAGAGGCAAGAGCAGATTTTGTTTTACATCCTTCTCTGCCTCCTTCCTGTGAGGCAGAGGAGACGAAAGCCTTTGGAAACACATGGACGGGGAGCTAAACAATCTCTATCTGGGTTTGCAGTCACAGGGTGACGGCAGCGGCCGATTGGCGAATGACTGACATCAGGAGAGAGGAGACAAGAGATCCTCTGACTCTCGATGGCACAGTGGAGAGGAAATAAAGTGTCGGAGTGATGCAGAGTGTAGAGTCTGAAGGTCAGGGATAAAGCGGGTCAAGCGCACGTCACACCTGGCCCTTGACTGAAGAGCATGTTCAAGCTCTCAGACTCAAAAGCCTCTGTGTTTGGATTTGGTCCGTGTTAAAAAAAACGACCTGGTCTTGACGTTTGTGTTTGTATTTGTGCAGTTTCTTCTGCTGGTCCCAGGTGCAACAACAATAAGACGTAATCAGGAGAAATTCATGTGTGAACGTAAGGAACATGACAATAAGTGGCTCCCCATCTGCTGCAAACATCGTCTTTACAAATTATACTACACTGAAGTGCTGCTGTAATTACTGCACCAAACGTAGTACTGCAGGCAGCTTGACTCTGAGAAGTACTGGTACTTTTGCAGTGGTTTTTGACATTTAAATTACAGCTCTGATTAGACGATTGGGTTTGCTGTAAGCGTTATGTTTCACGATGAAACCATGAATGTGTCCAGATTGGGAAGGAGTGTGGAGCGATTACGCTTCACTATTACGCTCATCAATGTTGTCGCACGTCAAAAAAAAAAGTTTTTTTTTTTCACGAAGCCAAAAAAAAATTTTTTTTTTTTTCACAAAGCAGTTTATGAAGACTTGTCAGGCTAAATGTCAACTTTTAATTTCTGCTCGTGTCGTAACGAACTCCTCCATCCGTCATTATCTGTGGCACTTATCCTCCAAGGGTCACAAGAGAGCTGGAGCGTTCCCAGCTGGCACAGGATGATAGGCACAGAACAGTCTGTATAACTCACCAGGATATTGCGGGAGTAAAAATATCGAGTCTCTGCAATTTATGGACTGCAAAAGGAAGGCAAAGTACCCAGAGGAAATCCTCCTTCAAACAGGGAGTGTACAAACTCTGCACAGCTCCGACTTACTCCGGTTTTTTCCTGCTCATTATGTGAGCCGGTCTGGGGGTGATTACTTCAGTGTAAATATTAGATTTAGCCGTGTGTAAAATATATTTACCGTATATACAACTGACACGACTCCAGAAAGGCTGGGGTGAAGTTACAGTGAGGCTGAGAAGGTCATAAAAGTAACATTTTGGAAGTTGTTTTAAAGAGGAACGTTTGTTTTCTACTGTGTACTTGACATCACTTTCTCAAACATTTGATTATTTATCACTCGTCTTCCAGTTTAATTTAATAATGCAGTGGATGTTTAAGTGCATATGTTTGCAATCTGTGTTGACTTTCTCTGCCCTTTCTATAGCCCCCCCCCCCCCTCTCTCTCTCTCTCTTTTTCTCCGTGACCTAAAAGCATTTTCTCTGTCCGAGGAGACTCTCACACAGGCTAAAAACGGCCCGTGTCTCTCCATCCATCCTATGGAAGGACAGATATGGGACTGTAACTCCAGAGTGTCATTAAAGTGGATAATTTATAGACATGTTCTGTCCCTGAGAAGAAACAGTTCCACTGCACAGAACTGGAATATGCCCCCCCCCGGATGAATGGATGGATGAGTGGATGGATGAGTGGATGGATGGATGCAATCTGACCTACAGTGTGGGGGTGTTTGTAGTAGCCTAAAAGTTGACCCTTGACACTGTGTAATTCTATTACCGAACAAAAAATAAAGCCTGTGTTTTTTGATGAACAAGCCACATGTTTCCTAATAAAGGAGACTTACTTTTTGAGTTCCTCATTTAGTTCCCATGACTCACAAATGCTCACAACAATATGTATAAGTAAATATATATGTTCTGTATGCTGTACAGTGCTGCCTGATATATGATATATATGATATATTTCATGCATTAGGCTTATATAGATTTTCATGAATTATACTAACAATAAAATGTAAGTCAGTATTTAGCATTTTGTGTTTTTCTTCATTATCATTAATATTAGTAAATGTGTACTATGAGGATTATTATTAGCAGTAGCAGTGATAGGATTTTGGAATAACTATGGAAGCCTCACATACTGTAGTCTGCACTGTGGTAAAATAATGGGTCAATTAATGCAACACTCCCAGCCAGTGTTTAGCAAACGTCTGATTAATGCTGATCTGCCCTACCAGCCGCCATCATCCTCTAGCCGTCTTAGTATTGTCTGTCTGATGTTGCCAAAGACGAGTGACAGAACCGTACAGTTAGTACTACAGTGACTGGGGTTTCCAGGAACTTACTGGGGAACTGTTCCTTGCAGCCTGTTTTTTTTTTGTGCCGCTGAATAAGTGTGTGAGACAAATCTACTTGCCCTTTTCTAATGATTAAGACTGCTGCCACAGTCAGTCACTGTCACTCACCATTGACAAAAAGGAGGGAGAGAGGGAGAGAGAGAGAGAGAGAGAGGATGAAATACAGGAGTGGATCAAATATGTGCTTCTTTTCCATCAATTGGTGAGGAAATCAGTGAGTAGATTTGCAGGGAGAGAGGACCAGAGGTACGGTTTCCCTCTCAGGTTGTGTCTGTGACAGAAATACCAATTATTCAGAGCTGGAGAAGGTTTTTTTTTTTTTTTAGTGCTGTTGGAACGTGGTCTAATTCTTCCTGGTTGCCTTGGTGATGTGAACATCAGGACGACAACACAGAGAGTCTCACAGCGTTGCAGCATCCTCACTGATTTCTTGTCATCCAGGAGTGAAAAATTGCTTTCAACTCTAAACTCAAGGGGGTTATAAGGAAAAATGACATACCTGCCAACCAGGAGGAATTCCCCATGGACTCCCAGTCGCCTCATGGCCATCAGAAGACCCCGCACAGTCATGCCTTCGCAGAAACACACCACCACACGAGCTTTGGGCAGACGTTCTCGCAGCTTCCTCAGAAGACGATCAAAGTGCTTCTCCCCGGCGTTGCTGTAAATCTTGTCAGAGTGAGCGATGCACAAGCCTTCCTGAGCCGCCAGTTCCTTGAAGGCCTCCATGCCACTTTCCCCGTAGTTTCCTGTAGGTGGTGCACAAAACAGGAAGTCCGATTCAGGGCAGTCAATGTATGTAGAGTGTTCCAGAAATACAGTATGTGTTGTTAAGATCAGGACAAAAAGCTGTGCATTTTACTCATTGGTTCCCAAAGCAAGGGGTCAGGCCCCCTACCTCAGGGGTATAGAGGTACTGTGGGGGCCACCCTTTATTATTTTTTTAGGCCACAGTGAAGGAATTGCAATGATTTGTAATTTTATTTCCTACGTTTTTCCTTTTTCTTTTCTGACAGCACTGCAAATTCTAAGTGCAGTAGAGCATCTTAAATATGTATAAATTATGAATTCATTTACAATATTATATGTATAAATTATGAATTCATTTACAGCATTTTGTCATAACTCAAGACAATAGAAGATGTATCGCAGTGAGAGGCTTCTCTATGTCCATTTTTAGAATCAAGAAATACTTGCTGAATTATCATGACACAATCACTGATTTAGAAATAACAAACAACATCAACAATTACACACATCATTATGCACTGAAACACGCTGTCATCAGTGGATGGCTGCACTAAATCACACATGTGTAATTATTCCACTGATAGACCACCAACAGTTGACTTAAGGCTCAACCTTTCGTATCTCCGTCTCATCCAGTCATTATTCTCCACATGGCTCCAGCCCAGAGTGAACCGAAGCTCTGATGATCCTCTGGTAATGAGTGTCAGGGAGTTTACCCGCCACTGATTGCAATCAAAGTGGCGACGGACAGATCCGAGATGGCTATCCTTGTTTAACCATCCCAATCAACAGCCCCTCAAAGCTGTTCAGGTCTAAATCGTCCTCGTCCACGCGGAGGCCGACCGCTCCACTAATGTGTGATGGTGTGGTTTGTTAATAAAGCCGGCGCTCTTTATCATGACAGCTGGATTAAAGCCACAATCCAATCACTGGTGCATGCTTGTGCACGTCTCTCTTCCCTCAGTCTCCCTGTGTGCAAGCACATGTGTGTGCTGTGTGCTGTGTGCATGTGAGCAGAGGGACGCTAACAGAAAGCAATAAAGACAATTGTTTGTCTTGAGAGGCTATAAGATCCAAAGGAAGGCCGGCAGCAGCTACGGTGGTCACACTAATGCACCTGCTCCTGCATCGGTTCTTCAATGGTCCCTTGAAGACACTTTCATCTGACTCAATCCATTCTCCCACACATGAATGGAAACAATGATATTCCATTATTTAAAGCTTTTAGCGCAGACACTGACACAGGTGGGACGTGAGTGCAATGGCCGACGGCACATTTGACAATGACCGCTTCACGTTTTTGTGTTTCAAGGATTCCTATCAGACTAATAATAATTGAGAAAATTAATGTTTGTTTCTCTGTTTTTTTTTCTTCTTCTTTCTATTACAGTTCTTGCAGTTGCTATGGGCAACGAGCTGCATTTATAACTCGTCTGATGTGGTGGAGAAGAAAAACTCATGAGCTTAAGCCAGTCGTGACCACTGTTTCAGAGATAAGTAAACACAGAGTATACAAGGTCTGCACCGGAAATATAATAATTCACAGACACAAAATGCCAAAATAACTTGTTAAAACCGCATGAACAGTGTATGCAACAGTGCTCCCAGATACTCTATATAAAATAGGTCATCTCTGACTTTATCTCCTGACTACCTGATGCTTTTTGGAATCAAATTATCCCCTCTTCTTACCTCCCTCCCGGTCTGATCTTCCATTACTCTTAAATTGTTGACTTCAAACCCACAGGAGCCTTTTGCAGGCATTGTGAAGGTCAGACTTCTGATGCCACCTAGTTATGCCTCCAGGTATTACAGCTCCCTAACTCCTCTTCAATATTCTAATAACATCCTTTGTCAAAGACTCTCCTCAACACCGGACGATAATAGGACTTTCTAAAGATTTTGACACCCATTCTGAGGCTGCGGCTCAGAGGGGATCCTGGGAGATATGGTCTGTCATTGATAATGCTAATAGGCCGCTCTGGTGATGTCACACTATACTATAAGTTTAACCAAAAGCCATTGCCAAAAGCAAGTGCCCTCAGTATAGCTACCCATTACAACAGCATTGTTATTCCTTCTACTTCAAATATTACTCATTAAAAACTAGGTGATTTTCACTATGTCATTTTGATGTACTTGCAGGTTATCCAACCACGCACGCACGGCTGATGATGCAAAGCTGATGATTCACTCAAAATAACATCCACATGACATACAGTATCTACTGTGTCTACTGTGTTCCCACAAAGACAGTACATACTGAGGTATGTATGTAAAAGACCCTGAGGGTAGAACACAGAGGAAGGCAAGAGTCGGCAAGCGTGTAATCGTTATGTTATGAGTCCAGACGTAGTACATGAGGTGGTTTTGATTCAATATAATTCTGCAAAAATATAGTACAAGTCGTGGGGCCTCGGTCTGGCCCATGGGCTTCAAGGAGCCGGCGTTTGAGCTAAAAGATTAATATGACAGAAAGAAATCCCTGGCAGACTCTAAACTGAGGTCACTTTATCTTCCCTTATCTGTAGTTCATACATGCATGAAGGGCTCTGACCCTTACGTGACACTGCATTAGAATCTGCCATGTTACCGTGATGGACATAACCAAATGAGCTCGGGGCTGCTGCAAGAAATAATTGTTACCCACAGTCTGCCACTGCTCCTAAAAAGGCTCTCTCAGACTGTAGCATGCAGAACAGAAGCCATTCATCAACGCTGTGCAGAAAGCTGTCAAGTTCCTTAGAACTAAGCTGACAGAATCTATGTGCTTTATACAGGAAGAGGTGCAAAGGTCAGCATCCATGACAGTATGAAGGTCTGACCCAGGTGTGATTTAGGCAAAAGGCATAAAAAAAAGAGAAATGAATGCTGTTATACAGAGGATGGCCTCCAGGGCATCACTGTTTTCTTTCAGCGAAACAATTTCAGGCACAAATTCAGAGTGTAATTTTCATAAACATAAAATGCCTGTGTTTGATTGGCCTAATACGTGGAGCATCATAAAGGAAAGTTTATGTGAGCCAATTATAAACTGGTACAGCATTGTCTCTGTCCTCACCTTATTACCAAAAGCACACATTTCAAGTGTAGCAACTATTTTCTGGAAAGGCATGGGTTTTTATATTAGTTTCTCTGTAGAATTTACTGAATGGACACATTTTTTCAGGGTTGTGTTGTTGAGTTCAGGAGTGTTTGGAATCTCACCCTCAGTGTGGACTGCAGACACGTAGGTCCAGTTGTACCGCTTCACAATGTCCAGTATGGCCCGGGCTTGAAGAGTGTCTGAGGGCACAACTCTCAGAAAGTACTTGAACAAGGTCTTGTCACTCAGATCGATGCTGGTGGCAGAGTAGGCTATCTGAGGGATGTTGAAGAGCTGCAGCAGATTCTGCACCTGTATGGCCACAGAGCTGGACCCCGGTCCAATCACTCCAGCGATGGGCTTTTTGGTGGGAGGAGGCTGGTTGGACGGAGTCCCGTCAATGCACCACTTGGACCCGTCCTTGTCCTCGCGAATAGAGATCAGAGAGTCTCGAATGAACTCGATGCTCTGCTCAAGGGCCACAGACGAGTGCCAGCACGAGTCCCGGATCTCACAGCCTAGACTGATGTTGGGGAGCAAGTTCGGGTCCGTGTTGATCCGGTCCAGGGTGTGAAACATCGCTTCAACTCTCTGTATGCCGTACTGCTCACGAACGTCCCCGCACTTTCTCTCGGCCACTTTTTCTGCGGACGGTTGGTGGTGGACGGAGAAGAGCGCGCCGATGATCACGTCCCCGTCCATGCGGGCCACGGAGCGGGACACGGCGCGGGGTACCACGGAGCGCTCATAGATGCTGCTGCTGCCGAAGCTGAAGAAAAACGTGGGTACACACAGGAGAGCGAGGAGACCCATCTTTACGCATGCCATGTCCTGCCACATTGCATGAACCGTGTCAGCTGTGCAGACATACTAGCCGCTGTCCGTCGGTACATCCACGTTTACAGAAGCGACCGGAATCCGTGAGCACGACACCTGAGGCATCTCCAGGCACACCTGCGGAAAAAGACAAGACACGGTGCTGTGAAATACGGCGCAGGATGTGCTCAATGTCAAACACAGGCTCCTCACTATCGACGACTTGTATACATTTACCAACGGCAACACATCTCACTCTTCTCGACTACGACCGAGGACAGTTGCAAACCTTTCAGCAAGGCATTTGACTCACATTCAACTCACCAGGAGACTGAAATGGAAGGTGGTAAAAACATCTTGAACAGCTGTGCATTATCAACTACAGCATTTCTAACAACTATCAGAAAAGCGAACTGCTTTTCATCTCTGGAGTAAATAGGATGAACCCGTCTTCAGCACTAAGGACAGCTCCTCTGTCACAGAGATAGGATCCACTGTACTCAGCTGGGTCGTCCTCTCACTTCTCTTCACGACCTGCGTCCATACGATTTCAGATGATGCCTTTTCTATCGACTTGTTATCAAATTTTACAATAGCACACACACAAACATGGTGGCTCCAAGCCTGGAAGCTACACATTTCTTTATTTTCTGTCACGCAGCCAAGGTAACAGGTAATAATAAAACAATAATAATTACAATATTAATTATAATACAATAAGTCAGTATAGCTATCTACCTCATGTCTACATGACTCACATACAAAGCACAATTATTTTCTTTTATCAAAACTTACCTGAATCTTGGAGACATGTCGGGTTCCTTTGCCTGTTCTGTAACGCGTGGTCTACTGTTGAAGCGTCTCTCGCTCTCTCTCTCTTCCCCCCTATCTTTCTCTCTCCCTCTCTGAACATTAAGACCCCCTCCCACCCACGCAGTCTCGCTTTCCTTACTGTATTTACCTCTTCTGACAGGGAATGTTGATGCATACGAGGTAAATTGTTTTGGAAACCAAGAGTAGAAAACCGAACAAAGTGATTGGCTAATTTAAAAAATAATACACTTAAGGCATTTCGTGTCACTTATAGGAGACGGTCACCTAAGTTGTCATGGCTGTGAGTGCTACCTCGTTAAAGCCATGAACGTATTTTTAAATAAAATGTAACATCTTAAACTGAAAGAATGCAGTGAATGTAAAAGAGCTGACCTCTGTTCATTACACTACAAATTCCGTGGAAGCTACTGTGGAATCAATGTTTTCAGGACCACGGACAGCGCTCAACAGACCACGTTGCGCTGCCTTGTGTTCAAATGGAGAGTTTTTACTTCCCATGTCAATACAGAGTCCAGTATTTCACCAATTATTTTCATATTTAGAGATGCTCATAAACAACAGGTATATAAAAGTACTTGTCCACTTCACTGGGTTGTAATGGGGCCCATGATCAGGTATATGCAAACTACTGACAAAAGGACAGACAACTGTTTTCTCATTTTAAGGCAGCTGTGTAGTGTGAAGAAACGCAAAATATGACATAGCTTATAATCCAACTGATCTTGCAGGTTTAATGCAGTGTTTTCACAGTCAGAGGTACAAAGAAACCCCAAGTGTACATCACTGTAAACGGTGCCAAAGCAGCAAATGTACCCCATAAATTCCCCACCAAGAACTGTGGTGTAAAGTCTGCAAAAGCAAAGCCAATATGTTCATTTAGAATGGGGTTTTAGCTTAATTAATTTTACTTATTTTACACGTGAAGTGAAAGTGAGTGTGCCACTGAATACAGGTGTTGGTTTGAATAATACGGATCACAACTAGTAAATAAGATCCTACAAATGTATTACTGTATTTTTGCGTCTTTTATTAATGAAATATATGACGTGTTGATAAACGGAAAATGGCTGTATTTATTTATTGTATAAGACATGTCAGCTTCAGACAGACAAAACGCCTCCAATGTTATTCTCCTTTTTGTCTAATGTAACAGTAATGTAATGCGCTAGCACACCGACCTCTGCTGTTTTTCATGGGTTACTGCAGTCAGTGGTGCAGTTCGACACTACAAAAATTAGTTATCCTAAAATTAAAACTAAAAATCTAAATGTTCCGTCTTGTGACATAGCGGTACACCTCGTCGTCGAAATACTATACAGTATACAGTTGTAATCACATCATTTAGTGTCCTTGATCTGAAACCTCGCGATGTTGGCCACCGTGTTCACGCATTGTCAATAAAGTTTTCACCAAAAAAAGAAAAAAAAACCCAGCAATAACAGTACACTGACAAAAGAAAAGCGAAAAGAAAATAACAGTACACTGACAAAAGAAAAGCGCCCGGTTACTATTATAAGTTCCTTCAGAACTGCAGATAGTATTGCTGAAATTCTCCAGTCGAAACATTCGGACCGTGTCTTTAACTGCCAACACAACTCTAACGTAAGAAACTACTCGCACGTCAACCCAACTTTGTATAACGGAAGTGGCTTGTTTTGGGCCGTTTGACTGCAGATCCGGCCAACTGTTGTTAGCATACGTTAGCCGCCGCTAGCTTTCCGGTTTCAGAATAAGTTGATTTAATCGAGAAAGAAAGGCTGACAAGTCGCAAATCTCCGGTATAGGTATAGATAAAAAGAAATCCTGGAAATCGGTTCTACGGCTTCACGTCATACTGTTTTATACGTATAAAAACGGTATTCATTTCAAGTAAACATACTTGTGAGTTAGCAAGTACTGTACATTTCAGTTGGATCCACTGAATGCGCACTTGTTTCGATCATAGTTAGTATATCCAGTGACTGACCAGCGAATACAATTCGGACACTATTGTGATAAAATGAGCTTAACCTGTTTTATTTGCACCAAACGGGAGGAGTTTATACCATGATGACGAAGATAATGTGAATAGTGTTACTCTGTCATGCATGTATTGTAATACTTATTAATCATCATTTTAAAGCAATCTGTAGAAAATTAACATAGTTGAAACGTAAAGCTGGTCATTGTTTCTATTTTATAAACGAGTTGTTGAAAACCAGTTTAACGCTATAAACATATAATTATAACGGTGTTTGTGTATGTTTGCAAGTAGATTTGTATAAGCAATGGCATTCAGAAAGAGGACGTTCATGTCTTGCAAGGCCATGATTGGACCTGGGTCTTTAAGTCCTCTGTGGAAAATCCCTGTAACAATAATATGCACTGATTGGATAAAAAAAAAGGAGTGAAAACAGTAGAAGTAAGAAGGATAGGAAGACATACAAGGAGGGGTGTGGTGAGGTGCTGAGTGAATCTGCTGCTCAAGTGCACTTAGATTAGAAGGTTTTTTTTCAGCAATAATTCCCATAGCATTAAAGTGCATAACTCAGTGAGTTCTATATCCTATTGTTGGAGAAATGCCTTGCAAGTTCAACGTGTGATGCTTTTTATTGTAAATTTTTCTTTATCTTTCATAAAAAGTCGTCATTAGTCATCAGAGCTGCAAAAACTAAATTAATTTCAAAAACACAAATGCGACTGAAGAAGTGACTTTGTAAGTCGAGTTGGATTTTCTTTTTTATAGAAATTACCTGGGTGGGAATCTCTATCACATACAGTATGCAGGTTAGATGCCAATACAGTGATCACATTTGAGTTAACTTTGAGTTACCCAGGTTGTGTAACTTGCAAAACCTGTAAAATACCTCTTCTTAGAAATGCTGCATTTCAGGTACTTAGGAAAATGACCTGAAAACAAAAAATGCTGTTTGTTCTCAGGACTGTCTCCATCCACACAGAGTCTTGTTATAGTATTTTAAATAATAGCATTAATATTTTTAATTTCGGGGGAAACAGTGATATCTAGTGGCCGGCATGAAGTAAGGCAGTTGTGCAAGACCACTAAATTTAGCCTTAACTTGTGTACAGATAGAGTTATGCAAGATTGATTGTGTTATATTTTAAAGAATTCTGAATTGTCATTTGTATTATTTATTATTCTAGTAGTAAATATAAGGTATTTATGTAAAATGTTCCCTTCATCTATTAAAAGTTGTGTTATTTACCCTTTTTATTTTGCAGGACAGTGGTTTGTGCCGTTCTCTCACTCAGGGGCCCTCAGTCCTCCCAGCTCTCAATATGGACGAGGACCACACTCACTGTACCTCCTGTGTCAACAGGAGATGCATGGTCAGAGCTGAACCAGGAATTTCCTGTGACCTCATCACCTGCCCTCAGGTGTGTGGGGCAGTGTTTCACTCCTGCAAAACTGATGAGCATCACCTTTTATGCCCCTTGGTAAGGGTTCCTTGTTTGAACAGTGGCTACGGCTGCCCCGTGGTGCTGGTTCGCAACCAAATGTACGATCATCTTGAAGTTTGTCCGGCCGGAGTGGTGTTCTGCACCATGGAGTGGAACAGATGGCCTGTAAGCTGCCTGGACTACACCTCCTACGAGAGCCTGAGCCGCGGGGTGGAGAAGGTGGAGCAGTTGGACATGGCGCTTGCCCTTCAGGACCAACGCACCCTACTGGAATCCCTCAAGGTGATTGCCATGGCTCCAACGGTGGAGAAAATGTCACATCTCCCAGTTAGTAAGGAGAACAGCACAGCTATGGACTCGTCTCTGTCATCATCTACCTCAGGTTTAGCAAAGGAGAAGATCATGAGTGGAATTAATGGACTGCACGAAGAGCACTTAGGTAAACTTTATGAGGCCACAGTTGAGACGGCGAGGACTTTGGCTGCAGCTTTAGACTATGTTAGCAGTGCCACCTTTGTTGACAAAAGTTCACTGGGTAGAAGTAGGGCTGGAGGCCTGGTGGCGGGTACACAGGGTAACAGTGGAGATCATCCAAGAGGTTTAGAAAACCCCATGTCTGGCGTTAAGCCTGTGAGCTTATGTTCTGGCTGTTTGAGTGAGAGCGTAGTTCCTGAAGAAACAGAGAAGACTATTTTAGTTTCAACTAATGGTTCACTTTCAGGGGTAATGAAGTCCACTCAGGAGACCCCCTATCCTGTGAAGGCGCAATGTGACACAGATGCTGGTGCCCCTGAAGAGACTGCGACCCCTCAGATGATATCTGCAGTGCCTGTCAGCCCAGCTGTAGCACAGAGGGCTGGTCTTGTTGTCCTGGATGACAGAGGGCTTGTTTCTTTAGAAATTCATAGTTCTGAGCAGAGTGATAATTCATTAACGAGCCAAAATTGGTGTTCATTACCTAATGGTCAGCTGGACTTCATGCCAGAGAGGCCACTTAATAGATTGCGACCCGAAATGGAGGATAAGTCAGTGGATACTTCAGATCTGTGGCAGGAAGATGACCAGATGGGACTGGGAGAGATTGATTTGATCACTGCGGCGCTGCTCTTCTGTCTGGAGGAGTCGAAAGAAAGCAGAAGAATTTCAGACACGATCTACATTGACGGCTGCCGTGTTGACTTTGGGACACAAACCTTCACATTCCCTGCTGCCATTTTGGTAACAAATACCAGGGTGGGCGACATGGCCTCGGCATCTGCCTGTGACCACGCTGCCCCACAGCTCTCCTACCCCAACCCTTTTTACACTCTCCGTCTCAGTCTCCTGCTGGAGGTCGAAGCACTCGCTCATAACTGCTACCTTCCCTCAAAACCCAGGTCTCAGCACATGTTCCCCTTCATCTGTGGCCAGTCATTCCGCAGGGACCAGTTTTCTTCCCATTTCACCAACGTCCACAGTGACATCCACGCAGGTCTGAATGGTTGGATGGAGCACCGCTGTCCTCTGGCTTACTACGGCTGCACGTTCTCACAGCGGCGGTTCTACCCATCCCACCAGGAGGCCAAGGTGGTTCACGACAGGTACCTACGGTCTTTTGGCATCCAGCCTTGTCCAAGAACACCACTTTGTGGCAATTCCCAGTCTGACCAACTAAGCGGGCTTCCCATCGAGATATTGTGGCACATTGCGAGCTTCCTGGACAGCTTCAGCCTGTGCCAGCTCTCACTGGTTTCTCGGACCATGAGGGAGCTGTGTGCCAGTCTCCTCCAGACCAGGGGTATAGTGGAGCTGGTGTGGGAGAGACGACAAGGCCCTGGGAACAGCACTCTGTCATGGCAGGTCAAAAAGAAAGTGAGTTAAAACAGAATCTGTTGCCTTTCTACACCAACTTTAATTTGTATACATTATGTACGTGAACACACTTTGATTAAAAAGAATAAAAATACTAATCATCTGTTATTTGTTGATGAAATTGGACCTAAATGGGGAAAATAACAGAAACGATTTGCTAAGTTTTCAATTTAAAGTAGCAGGTTTCAACAGTTTCGATCGATAGCTGCTACTTTATTCACTGTAGAAACTGTAAAAGTGTGGAAATTGCATTAATTTGTGATTGTGTTTATGTTTAAATTTTAACATCTGATTGAGCCTTGTAGCCAAAGCCCTTGTTGTGAAGGTCTTGGACACGTGTCTTTATCATCATTGCACCGTCCTTGAGGTCCTTGAGGTGCTCTGGTGTCTCAAACTAAATTTTCACATTTTTATCACAACCTTCTTTTTTGTTCTCTACCGCAGGTGTGGAGATTCAGCACTGCCTTCAGCCCAGTGAAGTCCTGGGGTTTCTCAGACCTCCCACACATGTCAGAGCACCTTAGAAAGTGTCACTTCAACGAGGTGGAGCACCAGACAGAACCTATACCTCTCCCCGCTATGTGCACCGCCCAGGAGGGACACTCACTACGACGTGTTTTACGTCACATCAGCGCCTAGATTACACTTTGGATTAATGCCTTAATAAAGAAAAAACAAAACACTAAATATCTCTGTTTTCAGAAATCATAAACTCACGTAGCTTTGCACTGCACTTTTGCTAAAATGCAACCGCACTAAAGTATATTTTTCTGTTTTCTCCCGGGTGTCTTTACTGTTGAACCAAACGGACGAAAAATGTAATTTGTTATCATGTAGGTTTTTCACAACGGCTGTGTTTGCACTTGTCGAGGGGCAATTACTCTACTCCTCCTAATTCTGGCTGTGACTGTTGTTCTAATGCACGTCAGATGTCTGGGTTTGCAGATCATCAGTACAGATTAAAGAAGACTAGGAAAATAAGAACATGGAGTGATGTATGTCATGGAATTTGCTACCACTCAATAAAATCTTTGTTGCCTTTTCTTTTTAATGTCAATTTTTATTAACAGTTTTTTGGTTTGTTTTTAAAATTATTATGTTCATGTCAGTAGGAGAAAATGTCACCAGGGTTATATAACGTGTATAACCTTTTACAGGTTATACACGTTATATAACATTCCCCACCCAGTTGCACAACCTATAATGTCTGAAACTTCCAACCCAGCTACAGTTCCACGTTGTAAATGGGCAGAGCAAGTTGCTGAAAAGCCTCAACAACAAGACTGCACAGCACAAAAAAGAGGAACACCAGGGTCTGCAGCCATGGCTGAGTACAAGGTAGAGGTAAAAACTGGGGACCAGCCGGGTGCAGGAACGTGGGATCACATTTTGGTGACAATAATTGGAGATGCAGGAGAAAGTGAGCGAACAAATCTGGACAACTTTGGCAGAGACTTTAAGAGTGGGAAGGTAAGTGGAGCACTGCACGTTGTTGGATTTGCGTCTCCTAACGTATTCCTGAATTCATGTGTTTCATCGTAGGTGGGGACTTACATCATAAAAAGCAGCTCATCTCTGGGGAGACTTCTGCTGCTCAAAGTGGAGAAAGACCCCTGCCTTACTTTCAAAGACGATGAATGGTACTGCTCTACCATAAAAGTGACCACTCCTGAAGGAGATGATATCCTCTTCCCCTGTCACAGATGGATTTCCAGAGGTGAAGATGTGCAGCTGAGAGGTGGCCCAGGTCTGGAAACTCCCTAAACTGGTTAAAAAAAAACAACTTACATTTTGGTGGCATTTCCATTGTAAAAGATATTTTGCTGCATTTGTCTCTTAGCCATGAAGACGTTTGATGATGACCACCCTCTGTTGATTGCACATCGGAGCAATGAGAAGGAATTTAAAAAAAGCATTTACCAGTAAGTGTGACAAAACTGCTGGCTTAGTGAGTCAGAACCTGGAGAAATTTGTACTTTTTTTAAATTTTAATTCAGATGGGGCAAGTACGTTGATGGCCTACCATATATGTTGGCCAATGAAGATGGAACCAAGCTCCCAGCTGAAATGCAACGAACTAAAACTACAAATGATGAGCACAACAACTTACAGACGAAAATGTCAGTCTACTCTTAATCAATAGCAATATTAATGTTTATCCCAAGTTCTATCAGGTATTTATTGACGGTTCTCTTAATGACCTCATCTACCCGTCTTTATTCAGAAGCCTTGAACTTATGTTCAAGGGGAATTTAAAATCAACGGACACATGGGAAAGCCTTGAAGCCTCGAGTAATGTCTTGAACAAAAAAACTAAAGTTTCTGGTAAATCCCACAAAGCCTTTTTAATGAATTAGCATTATCTACGTGTTGCTTTTCACCTAGACATCATTATGAGATGTTTTTGTAACTTTTTTCCTCCTCTTAATAGAGTACATAAAGAAACACTGGATGGAAGATGAATTTTTTGGATACCAGTTTTTGAATGGAATAAATCCTACAACGATCAAACGCTGCACCACACTACCACAAAACTTCCCAGTCAGAGAAGAGATGGTGAGGCCATTCCTGAGAGAAGGCACCTCGCTGTATAAGGAAATGGAGGTATGACATGGAGGTGGGACTCTCTGGGAGGCATATATTATTGTGTCGCTGTTGTTCATACGAATGCAAATGGAGCAACATATCCTGCTTGGCATGAGAAGCACAACTATGACATTTTTGCAGCTTTTGTTCCTGAATGACATGAACAGAAGACATAAATCTTGTTACTTAATAAATCACAGGACATAAATCTTGTTACTTAATAAATCAGTAAAAAAAAAAATTCTCAGAAAAAAAAATATATAAAATAATTTTGTTCAGTTTTGTTATCTGTCTTCTTTTTATTAGTCTCGTGTCTGCATGTTTAAATGCATGTTATGGTGAATTCTAAGGTAAAGAGGGAGGGGGAGGGGAGATGCATGCTCCTTTTGAACCACCCCATTCTCTGCACTCTGCGAGCGCACATTTTACAAATTGAGCATTTAGGGCGCCACATGAATGTTATTTTTCCTCAGCCGTGGCTCTACTTTAGCCATTCACTGCTACACTGACACATTTTGTTTATGGCAATTATGGCTTACGGCAATTTCATCCTTCCACACACAGAAAGGCAATATATTCATTTATGATATGAGGAGGATGGACGGAATTCCCGGTCGGGATGGTGATAATGGTGGACCTCTGCAGTCCGTGACTCCCGGTCTCTGTTTGTTCTATTCAAACCCAGAGAAACAACTTAAACCAATAGCCATACAGGTAACACCTTGGTGTCCTGTCATTTTTCCTCCTGCATGGAGTGAGAAAAGAAAATAATAAATTCACTTTTTCTCTACTATAGCTGCACCAGAGACCATCAGCACAAAGTCCCATATTCCTGCCGAGTGACTCAGAGACTGATTGGCTGCTGGCCAAGATGTTCATCAAGAGTGCAGACTCAATGGACCATAAGGTGGTTCATCACCTGTTGTTTACTCACTTTCTAGTTGAAGTCTACGCTGTCGCCGCTCTACGCTGCTTCCCTGCGATTCATCCACTCTACAAGGTATGACATGGCTGATTCCTTCCAATCACTGTAAAGTGTAAACAACAGAGAGACACATGTTTTAAGGTTGTTAGCAGACGAGTGTAAACAACAGAGAGACACATGTTTGTAGGTTGTTAGCAGACGAAAATAGAGCAGCTTTGGATTCATCACAATCATGATTAATTGTCATTTATCACGGTTAATCATGACCACTTGTGATCAACCACAATAAATCAAGATAAATCAACATCCATGCGTATGAGAAAGTTGTCTTTTTTCTGTGTATTATACGATAACTGTTTATGAATTTAAAAAACTGTGAAGAAAAATATGAAGAAAAAAATTGGCTTCCTAAGGTCAGTGGATCACAGTCATTACTGTTGAGGTCTCCACCAATACACATGCTTGGCATCGAGATGTTATTAAAAGATTGAGGTGCTTACGTGAAACAAACTTTTTCCTGCAGAGTGCATAAATGGCATTTTTATCAGCTGAGTGTCAGGACAGTGAAAAGTGGACAGACTTATCAATCTTATCTATTCTAAGTACAGTGCACATCATTTTACCAAAGCATGATATTTTGACCTGATAAATTATCTATTCTAAGTACAGTGCACATCATACAGACCTGATAAACTTCACAAAATAATTCATGTGATTCATTTTGACAGCCCTTGTTTTTTTAGGTTTCACAGCAGGAAGTTGAATCAAATCCAAGTTTAACAGTGAAAAATGTTTACTCTCTGTTCAGCTCTTGATTCCACACTTCCAAACCACGATCTTCATGAACGCTGCAGCCAGGGAAATTCCTTTTGGAACTGAAGCACTAACTATAGTGAGGCTCTGTGTTCATACATTTCAATTTTGGCATTTACTCACTGAAATCCCATTTTGCAATAAAGATTCCTTTCTATTAAATTCCAGAGCTCCATTGGAGAGGCTGGATGCATGGAGCTAATGAGAAGGTCTTTGTCTGAACTGACCTACAGCTTCATGTGCTTCCCGGAGAACATTGCCGCTCGAGGACTGGAGTCTGTCCCTAACTTTTACTACAGAGATGATGGACTCAAAGTGTGGAACATCATCAATGGGTAACTTTGCTTTGCTCACTGCTTTACTGGTTAATAATCTTTATTTTATTTTGTTCTAAAACTACAATTAAACTTTGTCTAAAAAAATACCATGTGTTTGTACCAGATTTGTCCATGAGGTTGTGAAGTTTTACTACCCCACAGACTGTCACGTCTGCAAGGACAGTGAGCTGCAGAAATGGATCAAAGAGATATTTTCCTATGGGTTCTTAGAAAGACAATCCTCAGGTATTTGGGTTTTGCGTTTGACACAATGCAGTCAGACCACTTGCAGCTAATGCCAGTGATGGACTGATAACTGTGATGCTGTTCACAGGAATTCCTTCATCCTTCTGCTGCATAAATGACCTGTCCAAATTCCTGACGATGATCATCTTTACCTGTACAGCTCAGCACAGCGCAGTCAATAATGGACAGGTGAGGCAAGATTTATCCAGAACACATGCTACCATTTGACACGCCAACAATTTACATCCATCACTGCTATTTTGTCTTTTAAAAACCGTTCCTGCACAGTACGACTACTACTCCAATGTGTACAATAATTCAATTCTACTGCGCAAACCTCCACCAAGCACTAAGGGCCAGACAACCATGAAGACTATTTTGGAGACCCTCCCAAATGTTGGGGAGACCGCCAGCTTTGTGGCACTGGCAAGGTTGCTCAGCACAGATTTGTCAAACTTTGTAAGTTTGTCGATCATCCGTAATAAAGATGAAGAGTGATCAGCCAAACTTCTGGTAACAACAAAAAACTTTTGAATTTACTCTTCTGTCCCGATTGATGCATTTTTAACAGGTTCCCCTTGGCAGCTACCCTGAGGAGCGCTTTGATGACCCTGCCATCCTGCAGATGATTAAGGAGTTCCAAGCAGAGTTGTCCTACCTGAGTGAAGAAATAACAGCAAGAAACTCCCAGATGGAGTGTCCGTATGAATACATGCTTCCCTCGTTGATAGAGAACAGCATAGCAAGATGATTTAGGCAAAGGCAGCAGTCATGATTTAATAATCACTGTAAAGCTCAGTGCTAAACGGTTCCTTTGATTTGGGGCATGCTATAATATTGGGTGATTTTCTACATAAGTAATGAAAAATAGCAATGAAACTTTTTTTTGTGGACCCACTTCCCAGTTGTAAGAAATACTATGTGAGCTGTTTATGTGGAAATCTTACAGATTAAAGACCATAATCTACCCTTGTCAAACTGGTTTAAGGTTGTTGATTGATGCAGTGGTGTGTGTGTGTGTGTGTGTGTCTGCCTCTGCCTCAAAACCCACCTTTTCATGTCAGACAAGCTAAGGTGAACCTAACCATTTCGCACTGTGCATTTGACTTCAGGGCTTGGTGTTTGTAAAAATGTGAAGAATTTGTCTGCCTCACGTTTAAAAAAAAAACAAAACCCTACCTTCAAAATAAGAAAAACAGAAACGTTTTCTTTTTTCTTTTTTTTTTTGTCATTCAGTATACAGAATATTTCTAAATATTTTATTTAGAGAACGATTATCCCTCACTGCTACCGTGTGCTGTCAGTCTGTTATTTATAGACCATATAGTTGGCAGCCGCAGCTGAGTAATATTAAGAGACGTAAGAGGACCCTGCAGGACAGGAAATCGAGGACACTAAACCGTGGAGACAATGCTGTTCAGATTCGGCGTCATTCTCACCCCGGAGTCTGCAGACGTGGAGGTGCTTGTTGTGGGTTCACGTGTGGAAATGGGTCAGTGGGACCTGAGCAGAGCTGTATATATGAAACCGTCACAAAAGCTAACGTCCACGCAGGAACCGGGTCTGTGGTTCTGCGACGTGCAGCTGGCCGAACCGTGCAGCGAGCCGCTGTGGTTCAAGTTCGTCAAAAAGAACGGAGGAAACTACATATGGGAAGGTACGTACAAACGGCAAACTATCACGACCTGTCAAACACCTTGATAGTTAGTGAGAGAGGAAAACAACTGCGCCATTTTTGCTGTGTTCTTGTAATGTGCAATTTCCGCCACTTGATGGCGGCAACGTAACATTTGTTTTTAATTCGTGGCTAGGCGGTTCATTAGTTATTGTTATTTTTAGTTATATAGGCTTAACTGGCCTACTATGTACAGTGATTGAGTCATAGTTTTTTTGCATTACACATTTGGAATTTTTTTAAAATTATTTGTTTGAAAAATACCTGGTTCCTTTGATACAATGCAGCAACATACAATGGAATATCTTGTCCATTACTGTAAATAAAATGTACGAGAAGTCTCCTTGCTCGTTAATAACACTGGTTTCTAATGTGGGCCCCCTCTTGTGGGATGCCCCTAGAGATAGGGAGAGGGAGAGAGAATTTTTTTTTTTTTTGTGCCACAGTGGGAAATGTTCCTTTTTTTTTAAATGTTATGCCTTTTCAGTGAGATTGTCCCTTATTTTAGCAGCAGTGGCCTGACAGTACTTGTGGTTTTACAACAAAAAAACAGGTTCAAACTAACTGGAAAAAATAAAAATTCTTAAACTGCCCATCATACTGTCGCCTCTAAAGTTGATAGTTGCCAGCAACCACATCAACACAGTTAAGTGTCTCAACATCACTTTGCCTGCTGTGGAAACCTGAGTGACTTGACCCATTAATTCTGAACATGTGGTCACTTACATCGTAAAGCCAGGGTTCTTTCCTCGTCTCCAGGTAGCAGCCCCACCCATGACCGTTGCTGTTGCTATGACAAGAGGAACATGGTCGACGGAGTGCACTGCCATCCAATTGGTCACTGGATAGATGAAACAGGACACACAGATGAGATGAAACACACCACAAGATTTTACTTTATTGTGGCCGGTCAGAAGGCCATGCACTTTTCCAGGTAATGCTATAAAAGCCTCTTTTCATGATGATGAATGGTAACGTACTCAGACTTTCATTGGGAAATAAAACACACCATAATGACACACCAACTACTCTACTTTAAAACTATTGTATTCATAATTGCCAGACAGGCCATTATACGGTACCACAGCCCTCTAACATGAATGTTACAGTTATAATCCACTGTCAAGGAGTCTTGATCCAAACCTCAAGACCTTAAGAGGCATTTAAACTGGAAATATTATGTGATCCTTAGACAAATTATTATTCAACAATTACAACAGCAATGTGAGGAAAAATTCAACATTTAACTCAAGCTGCAGATGTCATTCTCCTTGGCTGGGGATAAGGAACGTAGAGGCCGTCTGGGTACAGCCAGTCAAGGTCAGTCTCTTTGACTGCTGTGTCAGTCTGGAACATCACAGATTAACAGCATCGTTTGCCTTCTTTTTATGTGACACCTCCCGTCGATGTTGACCTGATGCATGCTAATAAGTCCTGAAGAAAGGAGTCTGCCACGGACCACAGCGGTCAGAGGGAAAAGACGAGGGGTCAATCAGAGATGTAGGGCATTTTCTCAGGGCAAGAAGATGGAAAGTGGTTCAAAAGGGAGGGATGAGAAATGTGTTTATTAGGAACTCCTCCTTTGCTGCCTCTCTCTTGTTGAATTTAAATCTTGCCTCAGTGCAGTGTTTCCCAACCTGGGGGGATGGGCTCCTTTTTATCAAATCATCAATTGTGCACAGGGTGCTTCCACGCACCTGGCTGGGCAGTTGTCCGCGGCAGGTAGAGCATGTGACAATCAAGATGAAGCACGAGTTGGGTATCACCGCCGTCATGAACTTCCAGACAAAGTGGGATGTAATAAACAACTCGCACGGCTGCAGACGCAACCCCGAGGAAGCCATGACCTCGGAGACCATGATGCATCTGTACAGAGACTGTGGCCTGGTGTATGTGTGGCTGCCCACCCCTGACATGAGCACAGAGGGTAAGAAAACATCTGGATGTTTGCAGATAAAGACTCAAGGAGAGAATATACAAACAGAGAGAAACAATTGTGAAAACACTCACACGGTAAAAATTCGTTAGTAAATGTAATTGTTAATATACTGGGAAAAAATGAATCAAATGGACTGGTGATAGACTACAGCCTGCTTATTCAAATCGTGGCTCAAGGGCCACATACAGCCCGAACACAACAGACCTGGAGACTGAATATTTTTTCGTACTACACAGAAGATCATACTTCATGTAGATGGTCAGAAGATTTTGAAAACTTGTCTTTCTCTCCCCTCCTGCAGGTCGCATCAGGATGCTCCCTCAGGCTGTCTACCTTCTCCATGGTCTCTTAGCCAACGGTCACACCGTCTACGTTCACTGTAATGCCGGAGTAGGCAGGTCGACGGCCGCCGTCTGCGGTCTGCTCATGTATGTCCTTGGCTGGAGTCTGAGGCGGGTGCAGTACTTTGTTGCCCTCAGGAGGCCAGTAGCGTACATCGACGAGGAGGCTTTAGTCCAGGCTCAGGCAGACTTTGTCCAGAAGTTTGGAAACTTGACACCGTCCTTCTCCTACCTGGAGAGTTAGGCTTTTTTTTTTGTTTGTTTTGAGTTTCTGTACTCCCACATTTTTCTACTTGCACAGTTTTTTTTTCTTCCAACTATGAAAAGCAACAATCAGAGGCACTAAAGAAGGCACGCTTGTTTTACAATAATAATAATAATTACCATCTAGATCATAGAACACAAGTGGGGACTTGTGGTCACAGCACAATCACTTCCAGGGTGAAATACCATCTCAATGATCAGCAAATACTTTCATGGAGGCCTAAACCTCAGGGCAGACATTCGACTTGCATCAGACCAGCTTCACCGATGCAGAGAAGTAATTAAGTCTACGGCGGACATACTGACTGACAAGATTGACAAGTGGATTCTGAGGGACTGCAGACTGATTTATATTGTTTTTGCTGCACATTCTACCACGCACCTTTTTTTCATAATCATAATGTCATCATTTTGATAGTTACAAAAAAAACATCTTCCTGCTGTTGTTTGACTTTCTGTTCCAGCGCTGCGCAGAATGTTCTTGTACTTTGTTGATTTATCGTGAATAATTGTGATTAATTGAGATCTTTTTTTTACAATCACTACCAGTTATGCTTAATCATGATTGATCCGTAGCAATTAATCAGACTAGGAATTGTTTGACAGCCCTACTTTAATTAAATGAAAAAGAAAAACAGGAAGACTTTTGCACAGTACTGTACTATGTGTTTCACATTCTAATCTTCTGACCCTAAATATTACCTTCTGTCAAATAAAGCACTTTAAATCAGCCGAGAACACTGTTAACAGGTTTAAAGAACAGCTACAGGGGACTGTGAAATGCCACTTCTTTTTTGCAACAGTTGTAATCATCAATAAACAGTGCTGACATTATGAAAGGTGACTCTGAGCGTACAGTATGTGTGAAACAGCAGAAACTAGAATCCAACAAATCCAGCCAAATATCAAGCCTTTAAAAGTGAGTTTTACAAAAAAAAAACAGACTTTAAGGAATTGAGGCTGTTTTTTTTAAATATTAATATAAACTTGTTTTTTTGGTTCAATTGTTCTTTCTGTTACTTTTTGCATGTCCTGATGCATGATGGTCTGAATATGAAATCATTATTTACCAACTCTTTCAGCTGTCCTTATTTTATAGCAAAATCTGGCATAAAAAAGGCAACAAATCTCTTTTTTTTTTTTTTTTGAAAAAAAGACAATGTCTCTCCATGTCTGTCACGGAGCCATTCTGTCCACAGATTTTGAAGAATGCAGCTCTGCCCTATCCTTTCCTGGGAGCTTGATAACGTTTCATCTTTATTCATTTATCTGGCACATCATTTTCAGATCCATCTCCTCGGAAGCAAAAAATAGCACAGTTGGCAGGCCCCTTTATTTCATACGAAATAGAAATATTATTAAATCATTGGAATATTGTTCCTCTGCCTTGACATATAATAAGGACATGTAACTTTTTCCAAGAAACAGTTTATGCTGCAAGTCCCTGATGTCAATAGTCAGTAGTGACACATAATCTAAATACCACAGGGCAAACCCAAACAAAACCCCCAAAGAAAGAGAAAAATGAAAGTCCTTGAACAGTTAAGGACAAGAACCAGTGTCTCCGTGAAGATGTCTTATGAGTCAATAAGACATATTTATGTCTTATATTTATTATATTAGATTTATGTCTGTCACTGCGAGAGTGACACAAACTATTACTTGACATTTACCATGACATCAAATCTTAGGGATTGTTCCGGTAAAACTACTCCCATGTTTAATTCATTTTTCAACTGTAAAAAACAAATTTATCAAACAAAACATTTACAGAACATTCAGTGGGTCCATATACTTTCGAGTTTTGCCTCATTTCTTACTAAGTTTTCCAACGAAAGAGGGTTTGGTTCAAAAAGACAAGTCATTTAAAGGCTCATTAAATATTATTTTCCTTAATTATTCATATCTGTGAGATGGATGAGCCAGGCTCTCTGGACTGGGATGGCACATTCACTAGAAATGCACTTTTAATTACACCTGTGAGTGCGACAACAGCCACAAAAGTTTCACTCTGGAAGGGTGAACACACTTCCATTCAATAAGCCCTTTGACTGCAGAGACAAGGTTTTGGCACGAGCTCCACACATATAAAACACTTACGTCCAGGCAGATCTATTAGCTGAACCAGTTTACAACAGGCTTTTATTCATCACTGGCATCTAAAGCCTCTTACCTGGGCAGATGACACCACAGGTCAAACATTAAAAGGAATCACAGATGATTTATATGCATCACATCAGTCTTGGCAGCCACGACCAATTTGCTTAATAGACTCCAAAACCAGTCACGTCATTTGCATTGTCTGGTTTCTCCATTTGGGCCTACAAAAAACCTAACAATAAAGACACCGTTCTCGACTCTGCTTCGAGTCACTGTGTCAGGGACTGACTGTAAAGTACCGACTGCAGCCTCAGACTTGCAGACATTCTGTATTAACAGCTTTTTATATTTTTCAACAGATTCCACCAGTAGCTGATCCGGATGGAACTGGAAGTTGAATCAACAGCAGTAACAGTCAGGTCGACAGAACTTGATTTTTATGGGGAAAAAAGATTTAAACCTAAAACCGAGTACTACCGGGGACGAGTACTACAGACTTATATCCTGGCAAATAAGCTGGGATCACCAACTATGGATGTATGTCAGAGGGATGGAATTTTTCTGGACAGACAACTTGGGAACCAGACACTGAAATAAAAAGTTAGTATTTCTCTCTCCTGCTGGGCTTTCTGTTTACACAGGAAAACCAAGAGAGATTGACTTTTATAAATATATATATCTTTGCTGGAAGCTGCAGGCTGGGATGGTGCAGACTGAGACAAACGTCAGTGCATCGGCAAGGTGTGAGGACAGCGTTGAGTTTAGATACGCTGCTAAAGAGTAAAACAAAACAAAAAAAGAAATAGAAATAGATTGCTTATTGTAGTTGGAGTGAGTGACAGCTCTGTAAGCAGCTTAGTGTCAGCTGATTACAGCTGGGTATGAAACTTATCCTGCCTGAATTCATACAATTGCATGCATTAGATTCTTCACATAAATACACATGATAATTACTTTTGTGACGTAAACTCTCCCAGAATTCTTAGCAGCATTATTTAACACCCATAATGTTCTCAATAAATAAATAAAACCTTCCAGTTCCAGTCACATTTTTAAAGTATTACTATGTTGACGACAACATTAACACAAATGCTGGACAGAAATGTGATTTTAATTTCAATGCAGTGTAAATGATCATAAGCGAGGCCGTGATTGCCTCCATTCATAATACTCAGTGCACTTTAGTGCCTTATTATCCATCACAGAGGATGGTAGAGTGGTACGATGGGCGGGGGAATATGCCAAATAGATGAGGTATGTCGCTGCCGCTTCTGCCTGTCAACGCACACACGCAACGACGGGCTTCCAGTGAAATCCATCTCTGGCTGCCAATAACGCCGTCGCTCCCTCCATCTTCTACATTGTCGCTGCCATTGATCACCGTCAGAGGGACAGACTCTGATACGAACCAGGAAGATCGACACTGCATTTTGAGACGCAGGGAGAAGGTGCACGGGCTGTCATGAAATGTTACTGTAATGCATCACATTCTGCAGGTTCACGCGGAGACAAGGATGTCATTCATCACCCACATTACAGACTGATGATGCCGCACAGGGAGACAATAGGTTGTGTGACCTTGGACATACAAAATGAAGGTATTTCAAATCAATGAATTTAATTTCGCCCACAGTCCTGACTGGACTCTTGAGTTCACCTTTTTCTGAATCTCCTTTGCAGGTTGAAACATGTTCAGTGACACAAACATTTCAGGGCCGATTCCTTCAGAGTGGCATATGAAATATTTACTACTATTGATTTTGGACGCTTCTGTAAGGAAGTGTGCTACAAGCAATGAAAAATACCCAGTAGTTGGCAGCAATGCAACATGAAGGACGCAAACAGCAACCGCTCAGCCAAGCCTTGAAAACGCTAACATTTAGATGAAATAACAAGACAATTTGAAGATGACTTTTTATAAGAATCTACAGGTTAATGCATCAAGAACAGGCTCAATAAAAGTTTGATCACAAATGTAATGGAGGTGTACAGCCACAAATATCAGCAGGTGCTCAGCACCTAAAGTACCTGCTCGGACATACTGTCACTTTAAAGTTTAACCACTGTCCTTACATTTAATGAATAATCAATAGTCTGCAAACACAAATGTAACTCTCGTGGCAGTGGTTTTTACCAAGAGACCGATTTGTTTTATTAAGAATTAAAGCAAAAATCGGTTAAATAAGAAGTATTTCGTATTCTAAAATACTTTTGTTCTAATTCAAATATCAGGGTTAATTACAATGTCAATCTAAATCTTTTTTTTTTCCTCCCTCAAATGATTTATGAGGCATAATCTGTGACTGTGAGGCATAAGGCTGGTGCACTGTTCTCAACAGTGAGCAGCAGATTTACAGCATAATAAATCCCAACCTCAAATTGTCTAAAACGCTTTCATCAAATCTTTTCAGCTTTCAAATTCCACAGCACTGGTGGGAACAGAAAGGGCGGAGAAATTGTCAAAGACAAATCGCTCAAATGTCGACATTCAAACATTGGAAATGAGGGAGAAAGAGGCCTCTGCAGTAGACAACAGTCTGGCCATATTCCCTAAAATAAAATTAGGTCTTTATTTTATTTTTTTTAATACAATCCTGTGTCTGAAGAACTTGTTTGAATTCAAATGTGTCACCTTGCTCCAACTTAACCAGACTGGATGGGTTTATATTACCTTTTGGCAGAAGCTCGTCTGAGGAAATTTTCAGCACATAATTAGCTTGGCTGGCCTTAAGAGACAGGGGACGGTGGCTGTGTGGCCATGCATGACAATTGAAGCTGCCTCCCTGGGTCCGTGTTGTTGAACGCCACAAGTGACAGCTCAGTTACCAAAGTAATCCTGGGATCAATGAGCACTAAACGATGTAGAAAAAGACGTGTCCATCATCCAGATATATAAATATCTCTACTTTTAGAATCCAAATTTTCACAATTTGGTCAATCAATATTATTAATTCTGATTACAGTTTTTTTTTTAAAAACCTGATTAAACCCTGTGTTATTTGCCCACTTATGTTTCCTCCTCTGTTCTCTGTTATTAACAGAGAAATATTCACCTCAGCATTTAGCATAATAACAATAATCAGTTAAATAGCCAGGCAATGAGAATGGCATTAAAACCTTTGATTTTAGTCACAGCTCCTTGAGGGACAAATTGCCCTGATCTCACTTCAATGCTGAATGCTTTTCTCCGAGAGGTTTTTAAAAATAAAGAGCCGGCCCGAGTGACATCTCCAAGGAAACCGTGCCCTTTAACAAATACCAGTCTTAGAAGAGGATGCTGTGCCGCCAGGGAGAGCGGAGCCATCATGGCTGCTCTAATCTTATCAGATACACTGATGTGCTTGAGTTGTTCCAGATTACGGAGACCCAGCAGGCCACGGGGAGCAGAACAGTGACCTGAAACATGTTGACGTGGGGGGGCAAAGCGTGCACCCTGACACTGTTTGACATGGGCACGCTGCCAGAGCAGACAAGTGTTACTGGGACACGGTAAACAGCTACTACACAACTACTCCGCCTGTTCTGGACCACATGGTAAACAAAACTGTCTCTGGCTAATCATGTTAATTACTGTAATTAACTGGTAAGAACGTCAGCCCTGGAGTTTGCACTAGGTAATAAGTAACATTTTGCACACTGAAAACTGATGGCGCTGATCCGATTACTCATATTAGATTAGTGGTGAGGAGATAATGACTCACTTAACACAAGAATAAAATTTAAATTATTCTCCAGCCAAATTCAGATCACTGGACGCAATATAGTTCTTCTCTATAATAGTTTCTTACAGCATCGGAGTCAATTAACAATTTAAACGGGCTCATGTTTTATCCATTTAGCCACAAATTTAAATTGACTCCACGGCGTAAACGGTTTTCTGAAAAACTTCGAGCAGGGAGGAATTTCTTTTTTTTTTTCCCAGCGCACATAGCTCCGACTGACTCAGCTGAAGGTGATGCTATAAAGGTGCATAAGTATATAAGTCATACCTTTGCTACTAGTTAGCGAGTAACCAGCGAGTGCATTGCATTACTATAGTTACTGTTGTCCTGCACAATCCTCCAATGGTTATTTAAGGACATTCTGGAGAGGGAGGTGCTTTAGAGCTAAACGTAGACTGATGTAGATGTTGATTTTTCGTCTAGGGATGCGGGTCGGGGGGAGGGGGGGTAGAGGAGAATTGGTTTTCTCTACGGCACTGTCTGAGCTCCACCACTGGAGCTGTCTATATCGTTAAAAGTTCATTTGCGGTGTTTACAGAGTCTGTGGATGATGAATCTGAAGACTATTAATAACACGGTCCTGTGTGTGAAGGGAGGAGCAGACATATGGTTGCCAGCACCCTGGTCTGCAGCACTCATAAATCACCTGTGACAACACATAATGGAGGCACACCTATCAGAACAGATTGGTCTGCCCCCGTATCTTTACTGGCAGTGAGTTTTTAGTGGTATTTATATTTGTGTAAAACATCACAGTGTAAACGTACATCAGGTCTGAAAGAGGATTTTAAACAAGACTGAAAGATTAAAAGAAGCCACAACTTAGTACGTCTGACACAAATCCAGACAGATGAACAGCCCTGTCGACCGGCCCGTTTAGACTGGAGGCTGAGCGGAATAGATTAACATTACACAGAATAAATGGCTGTTTTTTCAATACAAATCAAGCTCCTGGAAATATATTAAATACAGCTCTTTGAAACAAACAAAGCGTCTCAATTTGGAAGTAAAGATTAACATACTAATAAAAAAGGAAAAGAAATTGACAAATGTCAGCAGAGTATATAATGCCATACAAACCAAAGCCTTATGCACTATTCAGGGCCAGGTGTTTTTTGAAAAAAGTTTTTTTTTTTCAACAGTTTTGTATATATCCTAGTAAATTTCATTGCGACAGGTGGCAATGAAACCAACACTTTAAAGCCTCATTTACCCACCAACTATATATATAAAAAGAGAGAATAGACAGCAAATGGCGCAATTTCACAGCCACTGAACAGGAATTTAAAATTAGATTTTCTTTCCCATACTTCACCTCCTCTGTATCCTGAGGTAAAACATATATTCATTCCATAACACACAATATATGGGTTTTTTTTAAACTGAAAATATGTTCTATTTTTAACAAATGTTGTACCAGATTTCTACAAGACACATTTTTGTGATTATTAATAAGGTTTTTTTTCCCTGCTGTTGCCTTAATTTTCAACGTGCATACCTAAATTGGAAAAGCAAACTCACAAAAAGTAAGTTAAAACTTTTCACATGCAGCCGTGTGCAGTTTTTTTAGATTAAGCTGTACGATCTCAGAGATGCTGGTAGAAGTTTGGAGGAACACAGAATAAACAAGTTAACCCACGGAGTACGTGCTAAAATCTCCCAGTACAAGCTCCGAATACTTCTCCTATCATAGAGTCAGAGACCAGTATCTAAGAAATCCTGTATTTACAAGTAAAGTTTCTGTCAAACTAAAGTTTGACACTGGTTCTTAGACCTTTTCTGAAGACTTTTTTTGACTTGTTTCTTTTACTTTTAACACAAAAACAAACTTTTGAAGTTCATTCCATTCCGATCTGTAAATACAGTACACAGCACCGA